CCCCACAGGGTGTCTGCCCCTGTCCTGTGGCCCAGGGCACCTGTCTGTCTGGGGGGCAGGGCGGCCTCTGCTGCCCCAAAGCACAGGCCTGGGGAGAACCCGGCACATCCACAGTCCATTAGGAACCAATTAAGGGGCAATGAAGGGGAGGCCCAGGGCTGGTCCCAAAGCTCAGGTGATTCCTGTGAGTGAGCACTTGAAAGACCCTGGGCTGGGGTCAGAATTCCTTGCTGCTTGGGGATGAGGAGACCAAGACTCTCCCTAGGCTTAGGGGCCCCCCAAAGGCACTAAGTGGAGCTTTGGCCACCAGGAATGATGTTTTCACTGGACAGCTGCCTAGGCCGAGGGACTCTGGGTCAGCTCTGGAGACATTTCTCAGACAGAACACGGGGCCCTGCCGTGGAGCATACTGGAAGGCAGGTAGAGTTATCCTAGGCTTAACTTTTCCTGTGATCTTATTTTGTTTGTGTCTTGTCTGTGGTTTTCTACTGGGCCTCCAGTGCACCCCACACCCCGAACCACCACCCCAGCAATTAGTGTTGTGGCTGGACCAGCCACTGAGTTTCTTTTTTAGGTTTTGAGGATCATACCCAAGAACATTCTGGAGACTAGAAACTTAACAGTTTGTTTCTTGCAGTTTCTGAGTGGACAGTGGGCCCTGTGGTCCATAGAGTGAGTGAGGGGTTTGGAATTGGGTAAAACACCATTGTGCTCTACAGGTTCTGCTTTTACTTGATTTAAGCACATCTAATTTTTGACAAACCTCACAATTGTAAACAAAATTAAAGAAAGTTAACCAAACCCCAGAGTAAAATCATACCAAATTTTAGATACTTTTGCTCTGTTATTCAGAGAATCTAACCCTCTTTGCAGTAAAAGAAATTAAAGACTTCTTTTTGCATACCTGTACTGCTGCTTAAACTTAAGCTAAATCCTCTCTGTTTTTTATGAGAATTCAAGTTTTAGCTTGTTGTTTCCTAAAGATTTGTTTATTTATGCATACAGGGTTTAAACAGAGTCCAGGGGTTGCAAGAGGCTGCAACAGAAACAGAGCAGGAAGCAATACAGGCAGATCGAGGAAGCAGATTGCTGAGGGGAGCAGCGGGCGGGTCACGAGAGGTCTGCTGTACCCTGTGGGTCACCTCCCTGGCCGATATCCTGCTGAAGAGATGACCACCAGTTTGTAGTACTGGCCTTTAACCCATTGTGCCACCTGGGAGGGTAGCTAAATATCCATATAGCGAGTCATTTGACAACATAAATTTTTAAAGATGCTTCTGTAGGACTGTTAACACTCTTTCATTTTCCTATTTTTAAAATCATCCATTTTATTTTCATACCAAATCTTTCTTAAATATCCAATGCAATATATGTTTAGATACAGTTTACTTAATTTGTATTTAAAGTTATTATAAGTCACTTTTTAATTCTAAGTAGTGTGAGGTGTTGTAATAGGTGTTACACTATCGCCCTATGGACTGGATGGTTTACACATAAATGCTTTAATTTTCTTTTTTGTCACGTGATACTAAAATTTTAGTCTCCTTACAATGAGTAGCAGTAGTAAAGCTAGAAATTTATTAATTTTGGTAATTGTTCAAGATATTTAAAACATTCTTTTTGAGCAG